CAGGGCAACTCTGAAAGAGAGGCAGCAGCCTCAGTCAGGGGCTTATAGATAAAACTCCCATCTCCATGGGACAGAGCACTTGGGGGAAGGGGTGGCTGTGCACGCAGCTTCAGAAGACTTAAACATTCCTGCCTGCTGGCTCTGAAAAGAGCAGTGGATCTCCCAGCATAGCACTTGAGCTCTGCTAAAGGACAGACTGTCTCCTCAAGTGGGTCCCTGACCCCTGTGCCTCCTGACTGGGAGATACCTCCCAGTAGGGGTAGATGAACACCTCATACAGAAGAGCTCCAGCTGGCATCTGATGTGTGCCCCTCTGGGAGGAAGCTTCCAAAGGAAGAAACAAGCAGCAATCTTTGCTGTTCTGCAGCCTCCGCTGGTATTACCCAGGCAAATATGGTCTGGAGTAGACCTCCAACAAACTCCAGCAGACCTGCAGCAGAGGGGCATGACTGTTAGAAGGAAAACTAACAAACAGAAAGGAATAGCATCTACGTCAACAAAATGGATGTCCACACAAAAACCCCATCTGAAGGTCACTAGCATCAAAGACCAAAAGTAGATAAATCCATGAAAATAAGGAAAAACCAGTGCAAAAAGGCTGAAAATTCCAAAAACCAGAACGCCTCTTCTCCTTCAAAAGTTCACAACTCCTTGCCAGCAAACAAACCCAAAACTGGATGGAGAATGAGTTTGACAAATTGACAGAAGTAGGCTTCAGAAAGTGGGTAATAGCAAACTCCTCCAAGCTAAAGAAGCATGTTCTAACCCAATGCAAGCAAGCTAAGAATCTTGAAAAAAGGTTAGAGGAATTACTAAATAGAATAACCAGCTTAAAGAAGACCATAAATGACCTGATGGAGCTGAAAAACATAGCATAAGAACTTCATGAAGCATACACAAGTATCAATAGCTGAATCAATCAAGCAGAAGAAAGAATATCAGAGACTGAAGATCAACTTAATGAAATAAAGCGCGAAGATAAGATTAGAGAAAACAGAATGAAAAGAAATGAACAAAGCCTCCAAGAAATATGGGACTATGTGAAAAGACCAACCTATGTTTCACTGGTGTACCTGAAAGTGACGGGGAGAATGGCTCAAAATAAAGGGATGGAGGAATATTTACCAAGAAAATGGAATGCCAAAAAAAAAAAAAAAAAAGCAGGGGTTGCAATCCTAGTCTCTGATAAAACAGACTTTAAACCAACAGAGATCAAAAAAGACAAAGAAGGGCATTACATAATGGTAAAGGGATCAATGCAACAAGAAGAGCTATCCTAAATACATATGCACCCAATAAGGAGCATCCAGATTCATAAAGCAAGTTCTTAACGACCTACAAAGAGACTTAGACTCCCACACATTAATAATGGGAGACGTTAATACCCCACTGTCAATATTAGACAGATCAATGAGACAGAAACTTAACAAGAACATTCAGGACTTGAACTTATCTCTGGACCAAGTGGACCTAATAGACATCTACAGAACTCTCCACCCCAAATTAACAGAATATACATTCTTCTTAGCACCATATCACACTTATTCTAAAACTGACCACATAATTGGAAGTAAAACACTCCTCAGCAAATGCAAAAGAAAGGAAATCATAACAAACAGTCTCTCAGACCACAGTACAATCAAATTAGAACTCAGGATTAAGAAACTCACTCAAAACTGCACAACTGCATGGAAACGGAACAAGCTGCTCCTGAATGACTACTGGGTAAAAACAAATTAAGGCACAAATAAATTAGTTCTTTGAAACCAATGAGAACAAAGACACAATGTACCAGAATCTCCAGGACCCAGCTAAAGCAGTATTCAGAGGGAAATTTATAGCACTAAATGCCCACAGGGGAAAGCAGAATATATCTAAAATTGATACTCTTACATTACAATTAAAAGAACCAGAGAAGCAAGAGCAAACAAAATCAAAAGCTAGCAAAGACAAGAAATAACTAAAATCAGAACAGGACTGAAGGAGATACAGACACAAAACACCCTTCAAAAAAAAGGCTATGAATCCAGGAGTTAGCTTTTTGAAAACATTAACAAAACAGATAGACTACTAGCCAGACTAATAAAGAAGAAAAGAGGGAAGAGTCAAATAGACACAATAAAAAATGATAAAGGGGATATCACCACTGATCCCACAGAAATACAAACTACCATCAGAGACTACGATAAACACCCCTATGCAAATAAACTAGAACATCTACCAGAAATTGATAAATTCCTGGACACATACACCCTCCCAAGACTAAACCAGGAAGAAGTCAAATCCCTGAATAGACCAATAACAAGTTCTGAAATTGAGGCAGTACATAATAGCCTACCAAGCAAAAAAAAGCCCAAAACCAGATGGATTCACAGCTGAATTCTACCAGACGTACAAAGAGGAGCTGGTACCATTCCTTCTGAAACTATTCCAATCAAGAGAAAAAGAGGGACTCCTTCCTAACTCATTGTATGAGGCCAGCGTCATCCTAATACCAAAACCTGGCAGAGACACAACAAAAAAAGAAAATTTCAGGCCAATATCCCTAATGAACATCAATGCAAAAATCCTCAATAAAATACTGGCAAACTGAATCCAGCAGCACATCAAAAAGTTTACCAACCACAATCAAGTCAGCTTCATCTCTAGGATACAAACCTGGTTCAACATATACAAATCAATAAAATGTAATCCATCACTTAAACAGAACCAATAACAAAAACCACATAATTAGCTCAATAAATACAGAAAAGGCCTTTGATAAAATTAACAACCCTTCATGCTAAAAACTCTCAATTAACTAGGTATTGATGGAATGTATCTCAAAATAACAAGAGTTATTTATGACAAACCCACAGCCAATATCATACTGAATGGGCAAAAGGTGGAAGCATTCCCTTTGAAAACCGGCACAAGACAAGGATGCCCTCTTTCACCACACCTATTCAACATAGTATTGGAAGTTCTGGCCAGGGCAATCAGGTAAGAGAAAGAAATAAAGGGTATTCGACTAGGAAGAGAGGAAGTCAAATTGTCTCTGTTTACAGATGACATGATTGTATATTTAGAAAACCCCATCATCTCAAAAACTCCTTAAGCTGATAAGCAACTTAAGCAAAGTCTCAGGATAACAAAAGTAATGTGCAAAAATCACAAGCATTCCAGTAAGACAAACAGAGAGCCAAATCATGAGTGAACTCCCATTCACAATCGCTACAAAGAGAATAAAATACTTAGGAATACAACCCACAAGGGATGTGAAGGACCTCTTCAAGGAGAACTACAAACCACTGCTCAAGGAAGTAAGAGAGGACACAAATGGAAAAACATTACATGCTCATGAATAGGAAGAATCAATATTGTGAAAATGGACATACTGCCCCAAGTAATTTACAGATTAAATGCTATCCCCATCAAGCTACCATTGACTTTCTTCATATAATTAGAAAAAAGTGACTTTAAATTTCATATGGAACCAAAAAAGAGCCCACATACCCAAGACAATCCTAAGCAAAAAGAACAAAGCTGGAGGCATCACACTACCTTACTTCAGACTATACTACAAGGCTACAACAACCAAAACAGTATGGTACTGGTACCAAAATAGAGATATAGACCAATGGAACAGAACAGAGGCCTCAGAAATAACACCGCACATCTATGACCATCTGATCTTTGACAAATCTGACAAAAACAAGCAACGAGAAAAGGATTCCTTATTTTATAAATGGTGTTGAGAAAACTGGCTAGCCATATGCAGAAAACTGAAACTGGACCCCTTCTTTACACCTTACACAAAAATTAACTCAAGATGGATTAAAGATTTAAACATAAGACCTAAAACCATAAAAACCATAGAAGAAACCTAGGCAATACCATTCAGGACATAGGCATTGGCAAAAATTTCATGATTAAAACACCAAAAGCAATGGCAAGAAAAGCCAAAATTGACAAATGGGATCTAATTAAACTAAACAGCTTCTGCACAGCAAAAGAAACTATCATCAGAGTGAACAGGCAACCTACAGAATTGGAGAAAATTTTTACAATCTACCCATCTGACAAAGGGCTAATATCCATAATCTACAAAGAACTTTAAAAATGTGTGAGAAAAAAAAACCCCATTGAAAAGTAGGTAAAAGATATGAACAGACGCTTCTCAAAAGAAAACATTTATGCAGCCAACAAACATATGAAAAATAGCTCATCATCACTGGTCATTAAAAAATGCAAATCAAAACCACATTGAGATGCCATCTCATGTCAGTTAGAATGGCAATCATTAAAAAGTCAGGAGACAACAGATGCTAGAGAGGATGTGGAGAAACAGGAACACTTCTACCCTGTTGGTGGGAGAGTAAATTAGTTCAACCATTGTGGAAGACAGTGTGGCAACTCCTCAAGAATCTAGAACTAGAAATACCATTTGACCCAGCAATCCTACTACTAGGTATGTACCGAAAGGATTATAAATCATTCTACTATAAAGACACATGCACATATATGTTTATTGCAGCACTATTCACAAGAGCAAAGACTTGGACCAAACCAAATGCCCATCTATGATAGACTGGATAAAGAAAATGTGGCACATTGGTACCATGGAATACTATGCAGCCATAAATATGAATCAGTTCATGTCCTTTGCAGGGACATGGATGAAGCTGAAAACCATCATTCTCAACAAACTAACACAGGAACAGAAAACCAAACACCACATGTACTCACTCATAAGTGGGAGTTAAACAATGAGAACACATGAACACAGGAAGGGGAACATCACACACCAGAGCCTGTTGGTGGGGGGGAGGTGGGGTTAGGGGAGAAATAGCATTAGGAGAAATACGTAATATAGATGACAGGTTGATGGATGCAGCAAACCACCATGGCACATGTATACCTACGTAACAAACCTGCATGATCTGCACATGTACACCAGAACTTAAAGTATAATAATAATAAATAAAAAGTCTCACTTCCCCACTTCAAATGTTAGTTACCTCTTCATCGTCTTCCTCGTCTTCAACATCCAGAATTCCTGAATCCTGTTCAGACTTGGGACTAGTACTTTCTATCTCTGTATCAAAGATTATATATGTATCTTTCTTAGATTTCCTCTTGCTACCTATTCTGGGTTGTTGCAAGACGATGTTATCCAGGTTTCTTTGTTGTTGGGCCTAGGATAGAGAAAAACACACACAAACACACCAAAATGGTGGGGGTAGGGAGAGAGAAAGAAAGAAAAAAGAAACAAAACTTAATTAAGCTTTCAATGAACTTCTAATTTTGAACAAATTGGTATCTTAAAATATTACAACAAAAGGCCTTAGTACATTAAAGCTTTAGTCTCACATATAAAACCAAACACACTAATGTATACCTTTTTAACGCTGAAGCTATCCTATTTTAACTCATTTTCCAAGTTAACACAGAAAACAGATAATCAGTCAATATTATCATAATACTTTTCTAATATATCCATTAAATCTTCACAAAATGAAATCTATCCATTTTTGCCTAAGTAGGCCAGGTGATTAGTACAAAGTCCTACTGTTTATCTTTTACAAGAAAAATACCATATTGAGACTATAATGTTTGGAGGAGAAAGGGTGGGAGCTTAGAATTAATTTTAATTCATTTAGGCTTAAGAGACTGTTAAAAACAGTTATGTAGATATAAGAGACCAATGAAATATAATCAGGAGAATGAATTATCTTCAGAAAATGATTTAACTAAGTAATCCAATAGGATTCCATGACTGTGATTTTAAAGGGTTCTTTTTCTTCTGAACCCTAGAAAAGGTAGCATAATCCCTTCAGCCTAAAAAAAAAAATTTACTGAAATGATGGCATGGTTTCAATAGATACAGAGAGGTAAAAAGTGTGACTATCCAGAGTCAACAACAGAAATATTAAACCACACATTATTAGAGCTAGAAGTTACCTTAATCACCACCCAGGAAACTGAGGCTAGAAAACAAAGGATTTGTTTGAAGTCACAAGGCAAGTAAGTAGTAAATCAGAAGCTTAAAGTATGATCTCCTAAATTTCAAATCAGTGATATTTCCACTACACCAACAGTCCCTCAAAGCATGACCAAAATGTTTCCCAAAAATGAGTTGTGGTCAAATCAACAGGAAACCCTGCATCCCATGAAGACTTCTTATAGATATGTAATGCACACTAACAGAATAAAAGCTGGGAGAAGTCCTATTTTAAAGAAACTTGTTTAATTTGGCTTAATCCAACATGTTCCGAAAACATTTCCCAATGGAACTTTCCTTTTTTCTTTCTTTTAATGTAATATTTGGTATCACCCCAAGATACAAAGCTTGAGAATGTGACCTCTGAAAGTACATATTTCTTAATTAATATATGATATTTCTCCTCAGTGGCAAATAGAAATTAGACCAGGAGAAAAATCAGTCTCCAAATCTTTTGTATAAGATTAATGAAATGAAGATAAATATGAAGCATAAGAAGTCCAGGCATGGTCAAATGAGACAATTATAACAAGGCAGAGAAAAACTTCAACTATGTGGACTAGTTTCTGCCAAGAAAATGAAAAGAATGTACATTCCAGAGATTTCAATCAATGGATATACTTGTTTCTCTACATATTACCCGTTGATATTTTGGTTCGATTTACATAAATACATGGCTTCAGTAACAAACTGAGATAGAGAATTACCCAAAGTCATTTAATTTAGGTTTGTATAAGACACAATATCCTCTAAGCCTTTCAGAAACCAAGTTAAATAGAATATTCTTCCTATTTTTCTCAAAAGTAAGATGTTTTTCCCCATATACTTCCAATGCAAAATATACAAAAAGGGATCAAGGACTCCAGAAGCACAAAGGAAGGCAGAACTTCCTTTAAAACTTTCATATTTTAAAAAAGCAAACTCTCAACTAGAGAGTAATCATTTGCTCCCCTAACTCTATCTTCTTTCAGTACAGCAAAATCAAACTCTTTCATAAGTAAGGTGTATTTTATTGAATCCTGTTAATTATTTTTCTTTCACAATCAATAAAATATTGTCAGTGTTTCAAAAGCAATGAACAAATGAAAGTTATCTATTCAAAATGTATGTTATGGGACTTGCAGGAGGTGGTAAAGACTAAATACAGATATAAATATATAAATACATATAATATATATTAAACTGAAAATGTAACACTGAAGTCCATGAAAATGACAAAAAGAAAAAGCCCTTCATAGATATTTTCTAACATGCTATGCTGTTTCATCAAGACCACTGATTCTATCCCTCCAGAGACACCCATTATAATAATGTGGGAAAGAAGCAGCTGATTGATTTCGGCTGACTAGGTTGGAGTAGAGGGAGGGGGTACAAAGCATATAAACAGCAGCTAGATATTCGAAAGCATTTAGGTGCTTTCATTTTCTTAGTTGTTTGATCTATTTGTAAGTAATTTTTATGCACTTAACCACCTCTTCCTCAAGAGTCCCTCATATATATTCTTCTCTGATTTCTTAATATAGAGAAATTGAGCAAAACCATCGTTCTACTCTCCCAAAATCCAGTAGCACATGTCTCATTTCCTATTACTAATGTGTGTTCCACCATCGCCTCATTTCCAACATACCTAAAATGAAACTAATCACCTTCCCATTACAATCCCCCTACCTAATGCAGCCAGGCTCTTCTTAAATCACATTTATTCATCATGCCAATTAAATATAAGGGAAATTGGGGGAGAGGGGGCTTTAAACAAACCTAAACTTCATAATCAATCACTTAAATTCCACCAGAATGGAAGCTAAATCTAATTTTCCAATGTACTTACCCAATACCCTCCAAGATGAATCTTCCAATCAGATGAGACTCTACCTCCTAAAAATACACTAGGTAAATTTCCACTTCTATATCTTTACTTATGCCATTTCTCTACCTGATTACCTTTCCCTGCTTCAATCTAACTCTTTCTACAAAACCCAATTAAAATTCTTCTTCCTTTAGAAAGCTGTTTCTCACTGCTCTACTCATGATGCTTTCTCTCTGTACTTCTACCTTCAGTCAAACACGTATTAAATGTCTACATGGTACCAAGCATTGTGTTGCACACTGGAGACACAAAGAAATAAGATGGAGACCCTGACTCCTGAATCTCACATCATACTATTACAGGAAGCAAATAGGCAAAGAAAAGATAAATATGGTAAAAGATAAATATGATTTTTTTCAGAGATAAATGGAAAGAGCAACCATTCCAGAAGAATGAAACAGCATGTGAAAGGACTATGTATAAAAAAATATTATCCACTCAGGGAATGGCAAATAGCTTAGTATAATTAGAGTATAGGTTATAAAGGAATAACAGGAGATAAAGTTAAAGATGCTATATAGAGCAGTTTCACTGTTAGAGAAACAATAAAAGAATGTGAGCAAGAGAATAATGGGATCAGCTTTACAGATCAGACAAAACCTCTAGGAGTAGAGGAGTAGTCAACTGGGAGAAGACAAACACTGGAAACAGGAAATCTAATACTGATCACTAAAACAGTCCAAATAACATTATGAGAACTTGAATAAAGGTAACAACAGATTATAAGAAGCAAAAGTAACAGAATTTACTGACTTAAATGTAGTAAATGAAAGAGAAGAAGAAAATAAGAAAAACTCCAGGTATTCTCACCTTGATGACCAGACAATAGGACCATTCCAAACAATAAGAACAATGAAAATAGTAAGTTGAATGCAGGATAAAAAAAGATGAGTTCGGCAAACCTGCTGGTTATGGAGGTGAAAATGACAGTAAAGCACCTCCGTGTATACCACTCTCTCAGGATAAGAAAAACACTTTACCGTTCTTAGAATACCCCAGTCCAGAAAGTGACATACACATAGTAAATTTAGATATTTATTATATAAAGGTAAGAGATAATAAAAGGGGATCCATGTGAAAATGAGATTTGGTCCAATAAAAATTTATAAAAGACATGACTTGAGTGCTTTTCTACCCATTAGAAGTTAGGGGAGAACCCACAAGCAAAACCTAACCTGGACTGTTAAACTAATTCACTATTAGCACTTCTAAAACTGTCAAAGTGTGTCTATAAGGCATCTTATATATGACATTAAATAAACATTTATTGTGGACCACAACTTCCAAGGCTACCCAGCAATAAGACTCAGAGTTAAAAATACTAAGAATCAAAAGCTAAAGGTGCCTGATTTTCTCAACCCAATACTGACCTCTAGTGGATTAGAGGCATACATACAAATGACCTCCAGAATAAGAAAACAGTTGAAAAGAGAGGTTTACGCTTATAGGTTGGAAGCCTTGGAGGCCTAATATAATTATATAGGCTTCAATAACAGGGTGCTCTAAACAGGGGAGAAACAAAGCTTCTTGGGAAAAGATAGGTCTTACTCTGAAACGTACTAATTGAGCAGGTTACTTCTCTGTGCAATATCCTTATCTATGAAAAAGAAAAAGATTAATTAAACCTACCTCAGAGCTGCCACAAGGCTCAAATTTGAAAATACATGTGAAGTCTCTTGAATTAAAACAAACAAACAAACAAACAAGCTCTACATGTCTTGCCTCTAAAAAAGAAATAGGAATCTTTTTTTTTTTTTTTTTTTTTTTTTGGAGACAGGGTCTCACTCTGTCCCCCACCTCTGCCTCCTAGGTTCAAGCAATTCTCAGCCTTCCAAGTAGCTGGGATTACAGGCACACGCCACTACGCCCAGCACATTTTTTGTATTTTAAGTAGAGATGCAGTGTCACCATGTTGGCCAGGCTGCTCTCAAACTCCTGACTCAAATGATCCACCTGCCTCAGCCTACAAAAGTACTGGGATTACAGGCGTGAGCCACCAGGCCTGGCCAGGAATCTTGTTTCACTATCTACTATGGAAACATCTGAAATGCAGCAATATTTCTATACAAAATAATTAATGGCATCTAATATCATTGTATAACAAATTTTGCATTTACATACATTTCAAGTATTATATATCTGTAATAGACACCATTAGTGCTTCACTTACATCCTCTGTCTCGCCTATTATTCCAGCTACCATCAGCAACCAGTTCTGAACAGGTCTGGAAGCATCACATAATGTAACCTGACATCAGCTTGGATACTTACGGTACACTTCTTGCTTCCTGCCTTAGGACTTTTCTAATACCAGAATGTGGAATCCC